TTACCTTAAGAATCCGTCCGACCAACCAGTGTTCGCTACTGCATTGTTGAGAACGGGCGAGGCTAAGGATGCATTGGCAGAAGTACAAAAACGACATAATGATATCAGACAAATCGAGCAAACTATCTCGGAATTAGCCGATTTATTTAAGGAGATGAGTCTGCAGGTTGAAATTCAAGATCAGGCTTTGACTGACATTGAAAGCCAAGTTCAGGACACTAGAGTGAAGATAGAACAATCCAACCAACAATTAGGAGAAGCAACTCGGCTTGCTTTTAGTGCCAGGAGGAAGAAATGGTATTGCTTTGGTATTTCAGTAGTGGTTTTAATTATTATTATTATAGTTGTTATTGTCTTGTTAAAGAAATAAAAAAACACCGAAATTCATGATTATCAACAGTACTAAATAATCTTGACTTTTTCACATCTGCTAAAGAACTCTTTGAAAATCGTTTCGCTCGAACAAAAATAACCGTGTAACATTAATATATACAATTTAGTAGTAGTTAACATTGTTATGCTTTGTGTAATTGACACGGCATTTTTTTTTCACCCAACCCCATTTGTTTTTATTATGCTGTATATATAAATTTAAAGATATACTCATCGATTTTGAGTTATTTGATAAATTAAGATAAATAAAAATCAAAAATTTCTTGACCTATTTTAGAATAACAAAATTTACATTATTTAATGAAAATTGCTAAAAGTGGCTATAATATAACTTTTACTTTGTTTTATTTACATTATTTTAACACAAATAATTCAAATTATTGTTATTATTTTAATTTTATTTATTTATTATTATTATTTTATTTATTTATTATTATTATTTATTTATTTGTATATTGTAAGATATACTTTCTGAAAAAAACAATATTTCTTATATAAATTAATAATAAGTTAAATGTTAGCTTGTTTGAAATAATTATTTTACTTATTGTATATTAAAAATAACTTATTAAAATCAATATACTAATTAAATAATATCAAATAATCATAAATATTTATTTAATATTAAGAGATTAAATTATAATAATTAGAAATAAAATTAGAAATATATAAAAAACAATTGAAATAAAAAAAACTTTTTTTTTTACTTTTTTTTTATGTTTAAAAAAAATTTTTTTATAATATTTTAAGTTGTTTATTTTTTTATCTCTTTTTTTTTCTTCTCTCTATTAGAACTTCTAATAATATTATTTTGATATCTGTTCAATACTTAAATTTACTATATATTTATATAAGTAAATTATAACTAGAGCTTCGAAAAGTATCGAATTAATATTAAAGTGGTATCGAAATGGTATCGATCTATAGTAAATTTAATATATGGATTGTAATCTACTTATATAAATTTATAATAAATTTAAGTATCAAATTAATATCAAAGTAATATCAAAATAATACTGTTAGAAGTTTTAATTATAATCCATATATTAAATTTACTATTAATTAATATCATTTTAATATTACTTTAATATCAGTTTGATATTTTCAAAATTCTATTATTCATTGATCCCATTATCAACTTCTTAAAAACAAACATTATTAAAAATATTCTTTATTTTTAATAATAAAATTTATTGTATATACTTTTTTTAATATCTTACTTTCTAAAAATTAATATCTCTTCACTAATTTATTTTTTATTTTTTTTTAATTTTATATATTTTAATAACAAAATAAACAAAACTTTATACATTTAATTTATAACAAAAATACTTATTGAAAAAAAAAAACTTATTGAAAAAATATATTCTATTATATTCTCATTAGATCTGAAACTCTAGAAAATAAACTATTTATAAATATATTTTTCAAACTTCATAAGAATCTTGAATCTATTATATATAAATATTTTAGACTAAGGCAAGTAAATAAACTAGTAGAAAATCTATTCAGATATATGATCCTTTTTTATCAATTATATATATCTGTAGTAAATACTTTTAAGCATATTAAAATTTTTTTTAATTTTCTAAAAAATTTTGTCTATTTTAATTTGATTTTAAATTTTTTGTTATACAAGAATTCTGGTTAATAATTGGCCAAAATCTTGAATTAGTTAATTAATATATAAAAGAAATATAAACAAGATATATATTTCTTATATACATCAGGAAATTTTTTGGTGGAGATCTCCGGAGATCTCCACCCATAAAAAAATTTTCGAAAATTTCCGGAAA